TAGTTCCTCTTCTCAAGGGGAATGCCTTTCATTTCTCTCCACTGAGAACAATGTTGGCTCTTGGATTTGCAAATATACTTTTTACTATGTTGAGGAAATTCCCTTCTATTCCTATTATGTTGAGTGTATTATTCAGGAAAGGGTATTATATTTTGTCAAAGGTATTTTCTGCATCAGTTTACAGGATCATGTGGTTCTTGTTCTTTGCTTTGTTAATGTCATGAATTACATGGATTGTTTTTCTTATGTTGAACCATCCTTGCATACCTGTTATGAATTTGACTTGGACATGGTCAATTATATTTTTGATGTATTGTTAGATTCTGTTGGCCAGGATTTTATTCAGGATTTTTGCATCTATGTTCATGAGATATATTGGCCTATAATTTTCTATTTTGGTGGTGTCCTTTCCTGGCTTTGGTATCAAGGATATGTTTGCTTCATAGAATGAGTCTGGGAGAATTCCACCTTTTTCTGTTTTCTGAAATAGTTTTTGTAGAATTGGTGACAGTTCTTCTCTGAAAGTTTGATAAAATTCACTTGTAAAACCATCTCTCCTCTTCCAAGTTCAACATAAGAAAAACAGTGATCCTGTCAATTGATGCAGAATTGACAGGATCATGTGGTTCTTGTTCTTTGCTTTGATAATGTGATAAATTGCACTGATTGTTTTTCTTATGTTGAACCATCCCTGCATACCTGTTATGAATCCTACTTGGTCATGGTGATTTTTTTTAATGTATTGTTAGATTCTATTGACCAGGATTTTATTCAGGATATTTTTTTATCCAGAAAGTATTAAATGATCCAGAATATATTAAAAGAAGATGGAAAGAGTATCAGAGTCATTGTACCAAAAGAAATTGGCAAACACAGTAGAATTTCCTGAAACAACATATAGGCATGAGCTTGTGGTGATGAAGGAGGAAGTTCAAGCTGCTTTGAAAGAATTGGCAAAAAATAAGACCCCAGGAATTGATGGTATACCAACTTACATATTTCAGCTAACAGATGCTGCCCTAGTTGTGCTCACCAAGTGTGTCAAGAAATCTGGAGAACAACCACTTGGCCAACTGACTGAAGAGATCTATATTTGTTCCCATTTCAAAGAAAGGTAGTCTGACAGAGTGGTAATTATCTATCACATACAAGCAAGATTCTGCTGAAGATTATCCAAAAATGACTGGAACAACTCATCAACAGTGAACTAACAGAAGTGCAGGCTGAGTTTAGAAGGGGTCGTGGTACTAGATATATTGTAGCTAATGGGAGTACCAGAGGAATGTCTGTTTAATTGATTATGTAAAGACTTTGTGGTTCACAACAAACTGTGGCTGATTCTGAGAAGAATGGGAATCCCGGAACACTTGATCATGCTAATGCAAAACCTATACTTTGGCCAAGAGGCAGTCGTCAGAACAGAGCAAGGACACACTGCATGGCTCAGAATTGGGAAGGGTGTACTCCAGGGATGTGTCCTATGTCCATATCTCTTCAATCTCTTTGCAGAACAGATTATCTGGGAGGCTGGGCTCTATGAGGAGAAATGTGGCATCAGGATTGGATGTTAAACAGATGACAAAACCCTGATTGCTGGAATTGAAGAGGATCTGAAGCTCTTGCTACAGAAGGTCAAGAACTGCAATATGGATTGAAGCTCAATATCAAGAAAACAAAGATTCACAAAACTGAGCCGATTGGCAAGCATCATGATAGATGGTGAAGAGATTGAGATTGTTCACAGCTTTAGTTTGCTTGGCTCCACAATCAACACTCTTGGCACCAGCAGCCAGGAAATTAAAAGACATATTGCGATGAGAAAGTCTGCTGTTAGGAACCTCTCCAAAGTTCTGAAAAGCTATGATGTCAGTCTGGAGACTAAGTTGCGCTTCATCCAGGCCATGGTCTTTGCAATCACTTGCTATGCATCAGAAAGCTGGACAATGACTAGGGATGATAGAAGAATTGATGTTTTTGAGCTGTGGTGTTGGAGAAGAGTACTGAATATTCCATGGACTGCTAAGAGAGCAAACAGGTTTATCCTGGAGGGGTTTAAACCAGGCTGCTCCTTGGAGGCAAGGATTCTGAAGCTTTGTCTGACATACATTGGACATGTTGCATGAAGAGACCAGTCCTTGGGGAGGGACATCATGCTTGAGAGTGAGGAGTGACAGCGCAGAAGAGGAAGACCCTCGATGAGATGGATTGATTTAGTGATTTGGGTAATGGGGGTAGGTGCATCAGAGACAATACAATTGTTAGAGGATAGAGAGGATTTAGGACTGTTGATTTAGGGCTGTGAGTCAGACGCAACTCGACAGCACACAACAACAACAAAATCCATCTGGTCCAGAGGTTTTTTTGGCTGGAAGTTGTTTTATTACCTTTTCAATTTCTTTTTTTTTGTAATGGTTCTGTTCAGGTGTTCAGTTTTGGTTTGTATCATTTTAGGTAGGTTGTGATTTTCTAAGTATTTGTCCATTTCCTCTAGGTTTTCGTGTTTCTTTGACTTCCTCATTTCTTAGGGGTATTCTAGCACTGATTTCTTCGTTCTTCTGGCACTTCATGGCATAGTCACAATTCTTTGTTTGCCAATAGCATCTTTCAAAGACATTAACTCTTCCTCAGTCTTCCTTATATAGCTTTTGTACGTATGTGAAGCTGTTGGAGACATCATGGCTTGAGCTGGGTGCACCTTAGTCTTCAGAGTTATACAGTAACTCAGCAGTGAATTCTTTCCCTTTAACAATTTTCTGTTACCTGTAAGCATTGTAAGTATCTCAGCTGTGTTCAATTTAGAAAAGCAAAGGCATTATCCTTTTATCTCCATCTTTCATCCAGTGAGCATATACTGAGTCTTTCCCATGAGAACAACGCTGTTCCACTCGGCACTCAGCTGCTAGGAGAAGGCTACTATTAGTAGGGGACCAGACTTGTAATAAGCGAGATAACATTTAAACAGTGTAGAACATTATAAAATAGGCTGGAGTGAGGAGAGAAGGTCAAGAAGAGCTTTGTGGGAAAAAGTAATATTTGAATTGAGTTTTAAAGGTTGAGAAATTTTGAGATTGAGAGGGTTGGGAAAATAATATTCCTGAAGAGAACAATTTCAGTTTCTTCAGTGGCCTAATTAATTCTGTGGTATGCCAGCAGCTTTTTGGCCCAAGCTAGTGTCCAACTGGGAGCTCTGGTGGCTTAGTGGCAAGGAGTTGTATTACCAACACAAAGGTATATGGTTGGAATCCAGCAGCTGCTCCCCGGGAGCATGGGCAGTCTCTCCCTGTGCAATTAACTGCCTCTGAAAATCCACTCAATGGTGCACAACAACAGTTGTCAAACTTGTAATCAAAAGGGGAATGAAGATTCTTATTGTCAGTGAAAATTTGTTTTTCTTTCAACCAGTCCAGCAAACTAATGGACTACATGGACGTTAACCTCTAGTATTCTGAGAGCAGAGGGACTGGATGGTGCGTGGCTACCAGTGCTGACTAACTGCTCTAAAAGACATCAGAGTCCTGGACAGAGCAGGAGAAAAGAGTGGGACAGAACTGAAAACCACAAAAATGACCAGGCTCATGTTGAATGAGCCTGTTTAGAGACTGGTGAAAACCACCAAGACTGGCCTTAGGTAACCCCTCAAGCAGGGGCGTAATCTCACAGCTCCACTTTCAACTGCACACTAGCTATGTTTGTAAGATGAGCAATAACATCAGAAAGGTGCTCACTCCTTAGAACAATACAAGATCAAAAGGGACGTATTTTCCAAGGGAGAAAACTGGGCAGACAGGAAGCCTTAAGACAGAAGGGTGAGTGGAAACGATATCATAGAGACGGAGGTGGAAGAGTGCTGTGACCATGTGGGAATGGTAGTTAATGCTGTGGAAGGTGCTCTATAAACTCTCGCTCAAAGCTTGGTAAACCAAAAAAAAAAAAAAAGGAAATTTGCTTTTCTTTATTAACTCAGTCTGAAAATTATGACAGTAACATGTACATTACTAGTTACACTATGAAATGCATTCTGTTATGGAAACATTTGACATTGAATTATACAATTCCCCTCTCTTCTTCCCTTTGGGGAGCTTCAAGGAATAGAATCTCCCTTTTCTCTCTATTGTTTAGTTATGCATTTAACTTCATGCTTTTACCTCTTCACAGTATTTTTCCCTGTCTTTCCATATCCAGATTCATGGAGCACAAGCCCTTGCATGGAAAGTTTATAACAACACGTATTTAGAAATTTGAACCAGGCCCTCCATCCAATAGATATTCCTAGATGAGGCCCACATTAAATTCACATTCCCTTCAGTTCCTTCCAGGTGTAATAACTCTCCTTTGCTTTGTGATTTCCACTCACTGTGTTAGGGAGGTTGGCGATATTAATGAATAAAATGGAGAAAGATCCCTGACCTGATGGAACTTAACATTTTAGTAACTGTCAGAACAGCTCTGAAAGATTAGTCTTTTTCTCTAATGTAGACAAAGGATTTATTAACTTAATGCTGCTGCCTAAAGTGTGATTTTCTTTAATGAGCCTTATAACCACCCTGGGGACAAGACACGATTTCTTCCTTCAGAGGAGAAAGGCTCCTCTGTAGCTGGGGTTCTAATAGGACAGACCAGTATGATGTGGGCTATTGTCTAGTAATCTCATGAAAGATGGAAGTTTGGTGATAACTAACAATACAGTGAGTTAAGAGACAAATGAGTGAGTGAAAGGAGAAATATTTAAGGACAAGTAGTCATTTGAAGCATTTTTCCCCCCCGCTTGTACTTCTAAAAAGAAGCCAGTCACCAAATGGCTAATGGATCAATTATAGGTTGGACAGACTTTAAATAGGTGAAATAGAAACATAGTAAGAAAGTAGAAATGATTCGCTAGAAAAGACTCCTGAAATGAAATTTTTAGTAAAGAATCTATTTCTTAAAATTGCAGTGGATTTGAAATGGGGCTCTTTCCGTTTTATTTTTTATTATTATAGTTCTTCCTTGTTATTTTACAGATGTTTTATTCACTCTCTCGGGAAAAAGTCCATCTCTACAAACACATTTGGACAAGCAATTAGACAGGACTGTTACAAACACTGTCACAGAAAACCCCTTGCAGGAACATCTAGAAAAGCAGTCAGCTGCACAGAGTTTTGAATTGCTAGCAACTGTATCATCATTTCAGTCATCAAGTCAAGAAGAGTTTATCAGCCCCAATTTAAAGGTGTCAAAGACAGAGTCTGCCTTTTATAATCAGGCCTCTGCGGAGACACCCTTTGTCTCTCCCTCATTCAAAACACATGGCCCCATAAAGGAAGTGGTGCGCTTTAAGGACCCTTGGAAGCCAGCGCCATCCAGCATGCTCCAGACGGATGGTGAAGAACTGCAGCCCTTAATCACGAGGGGTGAGTGTAACTGGGAAAACAGAACTGTTAGTCAAACAGCCCTTTGGAGCATTCCTCTTTTTCTTTTCTCTGTTTCCTTTCTCCTTTTTAGGGCACTCCTTTCACTTTTCTGCCAGGTCATACTGAAACGTACATGCCAAAGAGGTGGTCCTCAGTTGGGCAAATTCCATTATTTTATTTCATCTAAAGAGTAATAGATAATTCTTCATCATGGGTTAAAAGTGCTTGCTTGAATGTGTTACCACAAGTTCTGAGCAATTGAGGTGTAAATCAATTCCGAGGAAACAGCTTTAAATAAAAGCTTTCCATTTGGTAGTTTTTAAGAGACTGTATGAACAAGTTTTTGTGTATATGTATGTATATACTCTGTGTGTGTGTGTGTGTGTGTACACCATCAGATTGGATCTGACTGGTACAGGAGGAGATTACCCTTCCTTCTCCAGGAGAGCATCTGGTGGATTTGAGCTGCCTACCTCCGGGATTGCAGTCCAGCTTCTTGCCACTAGACCACCAGAGCTCTCTAAGTATATACCTTTTTTTTTAAAAAAAAAAAAGCCTTGTGTGTTGATTACAAAAATAGTAGAATTTATTTTTCTCCTCTTATAAAGCATTAAGAAAGTTCCAATATTTTATAGACAGCAACAGATAACAAAGGAAATAGTTGAAATTTCAGGTTGAATTTCTTTTTTAAACTTAATTGTTGTTTGTTGTCATTAGGTGCCATAGAGTCAAGTACAACTCATAGTGACCCTATGAACAGATCTAAATCTTGATTAGTAAAAGAATAATTTGGTTTTTAACAATATTTTTTTCCAAAAACTTAGTTTTACTGGTACTTAATGTAGCTGTAGGGGTCTAGTGGTAAGAAGCTGTGCTGCAGTCCCAAAGGCCTGCAGTTTGAATCCCCCAGCAGCTCTGTGGGAGAAAAATGGGCAGTCTCCCCGCCCCAAGTGATTAACAGCCTCTGAAAATCTGCTGGAGGGTCAGCTATGGGTCGGTTCCAATTTAATGTTACACAGCAGTAGCAATATGTATAAGTAATTTTTGCCTAGTCATGTAAATAGAAAGCTTTTACTAGCACATTTTAAAACTATCTGCAATTTAACAAGGAAGTGCCTTATAAATGCAAACAATGGAAGCTCCCATGTCAGAATTAAAGAATCGAGTGAGAATAATGACAATAAAAACTTTCCTGACTGCCTCCTTCCAGAATATTTTGGTACAGAACAGACTAAAAGTGAAATAGATTCGGCAGTCTATTTATGACCAAATTAACTTTTCTGTCACAAAAAAATACATGTATGGAAACCAGTACTCTTTTAAGATTGCTGCAAAAGACCTCTTTAAAGAAAAGCAAAGATGTCACCTTGATAACAAGGCATACTTGACCCAAAGCATGGTATTTTTAGTTGTGAAAGTTGAACAAGGAAGAAGGCTCACCAAGAAGGATTGATGCATTGGACTTGCAGCGTTTGTCAAGATTATTGACTGTAGCAGTGGACTTACAGAAGAGCGTAAATCTATCGTGAGAGGAAGAATGCTCGTTAGACGCTGAGGTGGTGGACTCAGTCCTGCGTACTATGGACGTGTATCAGGAGGGACCATACATTGGAGAACAACACCCCGCTTGGGAAAGCAGAGGCTCAACACAAAAGAGGGAGAGCTGTCCCCACAGTGGCTGTGACACTGGGCTCAGCCTGAGCAGTGCTTGTGAGGACCGGGCAGGATCGGGGGCGATGATTAAGGATGACAGAAAAAAATCACAATTGATGCCTTTGAGTAGTGATGTTAGAGAAGTGCATAGACTGCCGAAAGAACAAAACAGCTAATGTTTTGGGGAAAGTGCAGCCAGAACGCACCCTGGAGGCAAAGATAGCGAAGCTTTGTCTCTCATACTTAGGACATGTTGCTGCTCGAGGCTATTCCTTAGAAAGGGACATTATGCATGGAAAGGTGGAGGATTAGCAAGGGTTAGAGAGGCCGACCCCCTGAGATTGATTGGACACTGTGACTGCAGCAATGGGCACGAGTATGTCGGAGTGTGATGATGGCACCGGATAGGATGGGTTCAGATCTGTTGTTCATTGGCTCGTTATGACTCATACTTGACTCAACACCATTATACCAAACAACAGGCGACATGTGTTCGGGATGAGGTGCCAGAAATCTAAGTGGAAAGCAGTTTTTCCGAGATCGGTAAAATCTTACAGTTCTAGAAGATAGAGACTGGAGTTTAGACTCAAACTCATCGTGACCTTCCTTTGGGTTTCCGAGGTTGTAAATTGTAGCTGTTAGAGATGCTCACCTCTCTCCTGAGGAGCTGCTGGTGCATTCAAGCCACTGCAGGTGGGGAGCCTCTCAGCAGCATAACTTGCTACGGACTATGCCACCAGTTGTTATCTACCTTCAAGTCAGAACCAACTCAGCTGACCCTCAAGTGGGTTTGCAGAGGAAGTAAATAGCACAGGAGGAAATTGTCCATCTTTCTCCTGCAGAGCAGTTGGTGAATTTGAACTGTAAGCCTGTGTGTTGGTAGCACAGCTCCTTGCCATTAAGCCACCAGAGCTCCCCTCACTTAGGGGAGTTCTCTGGTAAATACTCCAGGATTACAACTAAGACTTCTGACAGGCTTATCTATCACAACAAGATTCTAGAAGTAAGGATATATCAGAAATAAAACTTCTTCCCAGATACTGGAAGCCAGCTTCTGCTAAAGCAAATAGATTAGCTTGTATTTTCTTTGCCAAGTAAAGGAGAATCAAATCCTTTACAGTTTGTCATACATATTTGTTTTCATTCAACCAAAAATTATTAGGAAAATCAGGAAAAAAGTGGCCATAAATATAAATCAATAGAACAAGCAACAGAAACAGACTCATCAATGACCCAGTTACTGAATTTATGTGATGGCTACCTGAAAATAATCATGATTAACATGATCAAAGAAAGCAGGAAAAGATGGAGAATTTATCATGTTTATTTTTTCTGACAAATAACATGATAATTTTAATCAAATGAAAATTCTAAAGCTGAAAAAGTTTCATGTTCTGAGATGCCAAAAAACAAAATGCAGTGCTGGTAGAACAACGGGGAGGTTACAAGTCAAATCCTCAAAGTGGTGAAGATACAGAAGAGGGGAACTCCCAGATCTGAACTGCCTGAGTTCTCGGCTGCAGCTGAGCTATGTGGGGAAAGACTCCAGTGAGTCTGGCAAAACAGAAAAGAATGAAAACGAAAATCCTGCGTGAATCCAAAAGACCTTAGAAGACACTTCAGCTGCTGCTCATTGTACGGGCAATAGTTCAAAGAGACCACGCAAATTAACTTCCTGGGAGAGCAAAAACCAGCACTCTTCAGAGGCGTGTAACTGAATCCGGAGGACTCTACAATGCATAATCCAGATAACTCCATTTCTCTTGAGTTGGTTTCAATCCATAGTGACTCTCCTTCACGTTTGCAAGGTTATAAATCTTGGCAAGAAGAGCCTGTGCCATCTTTCCCGCATGGCACAGTTGTAGAACCACCCGAGCCTTTTGATTAACAGATCATCTTATGTAATGTGCTGTGTCTCCAGAGCTTCATGTCATACAAAAGCAGCATCAAGTAAAGCTATTAGAAAGACAAGAGTAATAATGGATACAATGAATAAAGAAAACAAACAGAATTGGTGCTTTTGAACAATGCGTGCTGGTGAAGAATATTGGATATACCATTGTCTGCCAGAAGCATGGACAAACCTGTGTTGAAAGCACAGTCAGAATGCTCCTTGGAAGTGAGGATGAGGAAAGACTTTATATCTCATATTTTGGATGTGTTTTCAGGCGGAAACAGACAAGAAAGACTGGGCTGTTGATCTACCTTCAAAAAAATCAGCTAATTAAAACCCTAAGGATCATAGGGTTTCACTCAAGAACCATATATCCATATGGGAATCAAATGATCCTTGGCCTACAATTCAAAGTATATACCCCAATTAAAAATTGACCAGAGATCTAAATGTAAAAGCTGAAAAGATAAATCTTCTACAGGAAGCGTAACAGGAATATTTTCATGACAGGAAGGTAAGCAAAGATTTCTTAGATATAGAAAAATTATGAAACTGTAATTATAAAATTACAAAACTGTAACAATTTATATAAGCTAAATTTCAGCATCGAGAAAACAGACATCCTCACCACAGAACCAACAGTCAACTTTATGGTAGATGGAGAAAGAATTGAAGCTGTCAGTGATTTCATCTTGCTTGGATCAACACCCTTAGTACCAGAAGTTAGGAAATCAAGAGATGTATTGTATTGTATTGTATTGTGCTGTATTGAACAAGTCTGCTCGTAGGGAGCACTCTAAATTATTGAAGAGCATTGATGTCAGTTTGAGGACTAACATGTGCTTGATTTAGGCATGGTCTTTTCAGTTACTTGCTATGTACCTAAGAGCTGGACAGTGAATAATAAGGATGACAGAATTGATGCCTTTGAGTTGTGGTGTTGGAGAAAGGTGCTGAATATCTCACAGATTTTAGAAAAGGTGCAACCAGAGTGCTTCTTAGATGCAAGGATGGTGAAGCTTCTTCACTCATCGAGTCACCTGTGACCCATAGCAACCCTTTGTACAACAAATCTGAACTCTGCTCTATTCTTGAGCCAATTTCATTCTCTCTGACACACCTACCCCCATTACCTCAGTTACTGAATCAATCCATCTCATCCAGGATCTTCCTCTCTTGTGCTGTCCCTCCACCCTTCCAGACATGATGTCCCTCTCCAAACACTCGTCCCTCCTTGCAACATGCCCAAAGTATGTGAGACAGAGCTTCAAAATTCTTGCCTTCAAGAAGCATGTTGCTAGGAGAAATTATTTCTTGGAAAGAGACATCATGTTTGGAAAGGTGGAGGGTCAATGAAGGAGAGGGAGACTCCCAACAAGATGATTAACATGGTAACTTCAGCAGTGGCCTCTAGTGCATCAGAGATAATGAGGATGGCATGGATTAGGGCAGG